GGAGGAATGCCAGGAGGAAGGTGTATTCACCGCGTACTCCGGAGTTAGCTTCCTCCTTCAGGGCCGCAATGTGTCTCTCGTCTTCTTCGTGCCTATCCTGCGGCGTCACTGGCCAATTCGGAATGGATAGAAACTCCGCCGACAAGATAATGAGTCCCCTGGACCGTCTGTCCGGTCAGCCGCCCGTACTCCTCTCACCACTGGGCTGACAGCGCGGGTGAAGCTACGTGCTCGCTGAACCAATCCAACGCCTACCTTTTCTCCACGTGGTCGCGCTCTCTCCCGTTGATCAATACCACCTATACTTGTAATCACCTCAAAGACCGTAGTAAACACACACACACACAAAAAAAAAAAAAAAACGTTCGGCTTTTCGCTGAACATTACTAATTTCCCAATTTATGTATAAAATTCAGGTGTGTTAAAGGTCAATCTCAGATTCGCTTTATGGTATTTTATCAACCCGTTAACGTTTCAACCGCCAAAAAAAATCGTTTCTTCCTTCGACAACCAAATCGCGTTAGAACTACTTCGCGAAAGCATTGTCAATGCGCAAAACTCTTTTTTTTTTCTTGATGTGACAATCAGTGTAGAATAATCAAAGCCTGCGAACATCTTTCTCTTCTTCCACGGAGCGTCATCAGAGTCGGGTGACACAAACTCTTCGATTGGACCCGAAGCCGATGACGAGGGTCCTTCGACGCGCTGATTGGACGCGATGCCCAGCCGAACACTGACGCTGCATTCGTGTCCAATCCGGATCGGCGCTCGATCTCACTGCGGTGACGTCATACTTCCAGTGCGCAGTATTTTTATTATTCTACGTGGTGCTGTAGTATCGACAGGCCGAGAGTGGGGGTGAGGGGACGAAATGGACGATGTTGATTGGTCCGGCGAGCTCGTAGCTCGCACCGCGCTACCAGCTTACGGGGTTGAACGGGAGGGAGCGCGCAGGGCCGGAACGACACGACAGGGGCGAGACGGACGAACCTGACGAGAAGACGGGAGTTTTGTGTCTTGCGCGAGATCCGTCCTCGAGAGCCACGTCTCTTTTTTTTATACGTCGAGTTCCGAGTGGATCTATATGTAGTGTGTGTACGAGGCGTGGGAGGCGATGTCTTGTCCGCGAGGTTCGGAGGTCCGTCCCTCCTTTCCCTTGTCTTTCGCCGGACACTTTGCTTGCCTTTCCCTGAGTTTACCGAGGCTGTCCTTTCTTCCTACGTGTTTCTCGTTTATTTTCATCACGCGGAGGAGCAGTTGTCGACGCTTGTGTGTGTTGACATTCTGTCTCTTGTCTTCGCTACTTGGGCGCAACTTCGTCTCGGTTCGGCGACGGTGGATGTATATTCATTTTGTAGGCATAGAACCCCGTATTATTATTTTTTTTTTACACCGAAAGTACTCGGCAGTTTTATTTTTATTTGTTTACGTATGTTACGTGCCGATTTGTGAACACGCTTCTCAACTAGTGAGCGTGTGTGTGCGGTTCCTTAGTGCACGTGTAGTTGGAAGTTTCTGATCGATAACGCTCTGATGGCTCCTCGTGTAATTTGTTTTTTTCCCTGACAGTTAAATTGGTTCCGCTTTTCCTCTAGATATTCTTAAAAACGAAGCTGAAATTGTACTTTTTTTATTAATGTTTTCTAAGTTCTTTCGACACAATTTCAAAGGTGTTCGACAAAAAAAAAAAAAAAAAAAGAAATGTATATACAAGTGTTTTTTTTTTTTATTATTGATTTTCAGTAGTATTTCTAGAATCGTGATTGCCTTTCGCTCATTCATTCTGAAGGTTTCGAAAGTTTTTCCATCGACAGCTGAACTATTCCACCAACTTTCGCGGCTCGTACGTTATCCCGTACTAAAATGAATCTGACGGAACACGCGCCTAGTTATTGATCCTCTTGAGTACATGAACTCTAACGCCTTATAATAATATATTTAAAAAAAAATATTTTGGTGGTGTGGTAGTAGACGCTCTCGTAACACTTGCGAGCACTGAACCACAAGATTTCAGTTCCCAAGGCAGACAATCATGCTGAACTTTCGGGACCGGGTTGTTCTCTGGAAACTAAAACGAACAGCAACCTTTATTTTCAGAAGTCTCATAATGCATGGAATGCAGTGTTTAAGGAACGTACGTCTAGATATCTTTTGAATTTATTAAACAGTCGTTTCGGGCAGTGAAAATAAACACGATGCCATTAACTTTCCCGCTCAATTTAGCGGGGAAATTGACGTCACGTGACGTCATGTTTTTTGTGATACCAGGACTTGGAACCGTGACGTGACATCCTAGGGTTGCGGGATACCATGACGTCAGATGACGTCAATGTTCTCTCTAAGTTTAGCGGGGAAAGACACGGCCAGACCGACGGACCGACACACACATTTATGGGATTCGATGATTCTGACTAAAAAAAACGCTCTATGTTTAAAAAAAAAAATAAAAAAAAACTTTACTAGTGTTATTGGTCTATCTGCTCGGTCTTGAAGTAAACACAGACAGAATATACCTCCCTGTGTTCTGTATAATTTTGTTTCTGCTCATATTTCGGTGTTTCTGCGTCATGTTTTAGTTTCGCCTAAAATGTACAGTTACGTGGGTGAGGCCTAACCGGGGGCATTCATCAACTCTCCGGGAAACTGTCGGACCACCAGAGCTAACTTGTGCCTGAACAGAGCGCTTCTATATCACGTGACCAAAAAAAAAAAAACAAGAAAAGGTATTTTTATTTGTTATCTTATTTCTTTCCATGCTATTTCACACGCTCTAGATAAGCTGAATGCACATTCTTGTGTACATTTTATTAACGCCGTTAACGAACGAAATGAGTCTGAGGCGCGCGCCAGCGAACTCCGCCCGGCTCGTTTAACGTCAGCTATTGATTTTACAATTATGGGACTTCGATTCCTGGCCTTTGTACCGCGAAGGCAACGCTGCGCCTCGGGGGAGCGCAGAGACAAAGGGACGTGTTACGTACCACGGCCCCCTAAATCAATGCGCGGTCTAATTAAGATTAGCGAGACGCGATTTTCGTTCGTTTTTCTTCTCTTTCTTCTTTACTCCTGCTCGGATGTTTGTCCGATCCAATATTTTTGTACGGCGAACGAAGCCAAGTGATTACGGTGGTTGTCTTTTCGTCGATAGAGGGAGATAGCTGGGCTGGCTGAGGGGAGAGCCTATCCTCTTCTTTGTTGTCGTTCACCTCGGCGTTTAAGCTGAATGACTCCAGAGGGGTTCTCGCGTTTATCTTGTTGCTTATCACCGTTTTAATCTTCCAGTGTATTTTTTTTTTCCTTTGACGAACGCTTAAGTATGCCGATTTGTGTTGAACGAGACTAAAATAAGTTATTTTCTGGAGGGTTTTTATAAGCCCCTTGTAGCGTGGTTGTCTCTCTGTTGCTAAAAATGACGGCGCAAAAGTAAAGAGAAAAAAGAATACAGTAATGTTTTGTTTGCATGGTTCCCGTTAATGTGGATACACCGCTACATGGCCACGATTTTCGGGGACAAACCGGGAAATTACATTCGTTTTTGTCTCGTTAATAGGGACAGCTCACATTATGGACGATTTTTGGAAGGAGTGGAGGTGGTCCATATTAGCGAGATATCACTGTATTAATGTTGTAATCATATTTCTGCACTTTATATGACATTGGGTAACGTGATGAGCATATAATTAATGGCTAGTTGAAGCTGAACTCCATATGTCACCTGATGTAGAGCGGTCCCCGCTCGAAACGTCGTAATAAACTCAGAATTAGTAACTCCGACAGTACGCATCTTTGACTTATTATATATATAAATATATTGTTTTTACTATTTGAGAAGCGCTGAGTCAATGGTCCTGGGTAAATGCCACCATAAGTATCTGTCAAATCTCGGACCGTTGTCAAAAGGGGTCTTACCGCTTGTCTTGCCAAGGTTGATTCGGGGCAACATGTCGTTGTACATTCGGGTCACGACAAAAGCCACTCTTTTTGGTTTCCAGTTTAGGCCATGCGATTTGTGATTTATAGGAAGGAGAGGGTACGTTTTTGGTGACAGTGAAAGCTATAGACCATACGGATTGTATAAAATTGGGAAGAGGGGCAGTTGAAACTTCTCTACTACATCCTTAACCACTCCACCTCGCGCGGCCGCGGGCTAGATGGATGGAATAGGATGGGATGACTACGAGCTTCCTAGCGACTACCTCCGGGAGTTTATTGGTTTTTAGGTATCGACGTTTATTCACGCAACGCTTTTGAGCGACTTTTTCGTGGGACAAATAAGTATTGCCAATGGCAATGGCAGCAACGCCATATTCAACCGAAGAAATTTTAATTGACATAAGCGCGTTTTATTTTTTTATCTGGCATACGTTTACATCCGGTTATTAGTTATATATTTATTTTTAATGGAAAACACAGAGAAATTAAACTTTGAATTTCGGAGAATTGGGAATCAGACAAATATAAACTCCAATAAACTCCGAGTCTTCGGCAAAAGATAAACTCTGAAAACACCCTCCGATTTTGACGAAAAATAAACTCCGAAAACACGGAACCCTAAAAAATAGTCAGAGTGCAGGCGAGCTGCTGTAAGTTGAACATGATTGTAAACCTGAGACTGGGGCAGAAAGAGAACACGACAGAAGGTAGTGAAAGAGGAGGCAACGTCTCAATTGAGACGTTTCCTCCTCTTTTACTACCTTCTGTTGTGATCTCTTCCTGCCCCAGTCTCAGGTTTACAATCATGTTCAACGGAACCCTAGTTATTTTCCATTGTCAGACGTCCTCTTTATAATATTTATCTGTTTTAATGCATGCAACAATTTATTATGCCAGTCTCACCAACGTAGCCCTGATGGTGGTATGGTAGCCTACACCAGCTTGACAAAAACATTTTCTCTTGGTCTATTGTTCCACGTTGACCGTACACATACTCCTTCCTGTTTACTCGATTCCTTTGTGTGTTCTAGCTGTTCTGTGCTCACCCGTCCTGTTCTTTGTCCCAGGTCCCGGACGAGTGGCCAGGGACTTCCCGGCAGCGCCCGGGACCCGAACAGCCGCGACGGCGGCCCCCAAGACCTCAGCCGGACCTCGTTGTCTCCGGGCGACTCCCCTCGACCCGCCCCGACGCCCCCGGCCGAAGACCCCGACATGGTGACGCGGCGCTTCAAGAAGGGCTCCGTCTACGAAGCCCTGGCCAGCCAGAGCGGCTTCGACTTCTCTCCCGTGGTCCCGCAGACCAGGCCCGCTGGCTGGACCCAACCGGACGCCTCCAAGGATACCTCCTGGAGGACCCCTCCGTCGACGCCTCCCAAAGAGAACAGTCCGCGGACGCCCTCCCACGAGAAGTACCCGTCGTGGCCCGTGACGCCGTCCCCGGCCATGTCGACAACGTGCCGCTCGCGGTCCTGGACGCAGGAAACGGACTACCCAAAGGAGAAGGCTGCGTCCTACGTCAGGCCCAAGAAGAGCTTCAAAATCTCCACACAGCAGCTACAGCCAGTTCTGGAACGCGCCTGCGAACCCGGCAGCAAAAAGACAATCCAAGAAGACCGCGTACCACGACCTGGCGACAGTTCCCAAGGTGACGCGCCGACCGACTGCAGCGCGGACGCGTACCTGAGCAAATACGACGAGTTCCTGCGACAGTACCAGCGCTGGAGCGAAGCGCCCTTCCTCCAGCGGTTGTACCAGGAGGGCGAGCGGGAGGGCTGGCCGCCGGAGGCCACTCCAAGCGAATCGGCCTGTGACTCGCTCGGGTCCAGTGGCGGCTCCAGCCAAGACACGCTCAAGTGGCACGGATCGTACAGCGACCTGAGCGCTTTCTCGACCTCCAACGGCTCGTCGCTTTTTGACAGTGGTCACTCGACGCTGCCGGACAGCGGCCGCCTGTCGCCGCAGTCGTCCTGCGACGGCAGCCTTGCCGACGGCAGTCAGCGCCTCGTCTCTCCCAGTCAAGCCGCTGTGGCCCGGAGCGCCCGGGTGCTCCCTCCCAAAAGGCACGAGTCCGAAAGCGTCCTCTACTACGCTCCTGGACAAGTACACGCCAGGAAGACGACCTCACAGATCGGCGAGACGTCGTCCCGGGTGGCGAGGCTCAAGGCCGCCTTCGATCCGGTCTGCGAGTCGAGAACCAGTTCCACGCAGAGTCTTTCCCATCGGCCGGACGCCGCCTCGCCCAGGGTCCTCTTCTTGGACCCCGAGAAGAAGCATCGAGTCTCGGATCCCGAACTGAAGGCCATTCAAAAACAAGCCGTACTTTCCTTCTACAAGCGCCAGACGTCGCAGGACTCCAAGAACAGGTCCCTCCCGCGGAGCGTGACGGTGCCCAAGTGGTCCGTCGCTGCTTCCGAGACGTCGCCCAAGCCGAAGTCGACGGTTGCGACGCCAGGAACGACTAAACCCCTAGAAACTACGGGTCTGAGCAGAGACCCCGATAGTCCCTGGAGGGGTCCTAGATCCTGGTCGGTCCCTGACCTTGCGCAACCACTCAGTGTGGCCGCCAAGACTCCCTGGTGCCCTCAGGCACCCTCCAAGACGCCCTCTGATCCGCCTTCGCGGAGGTCTTGCGATGGTGTTCTTGTCAGCCGTACGCCCTCGATGAACGGTGGTAGTGTCTGTGAACTGCCTCCTGCCAGAAAGCTTTCGGTGGCTGTTCAGAGGGAGTCATCCATTGGGGCATCAGATACGACCTCGGCGAAAGCCAGGGCGCAGGAGCATTCCCAGCCGGCCTCCCTTCCAGTCATCCCATCTGCTTCCAAGGTAAGGTTTAAGTCCACTTTTTTGTGACCCTTAAGCTCACTGATAAAATTTGGATTGGATTGGAGGAACGTTTACTGATACCTTGAGCGAGCGTTCGCACCTCGGCGTGGCTTGCAGAATGACTGATCTTATAGAGGATGGCGTCAAGTACAGCCAGCTTAAGATATCTGAGGACGGATTACAATTAATATTCCATGCTTCCGTTCAGAATCCTCCGATGGCTTTGTCCATGTGTTGAGGTCCCGAGGGCGTTCTTTAGAGATCATATTTGCTAAGGTCTTACTGGGAGGTCTTTTTCGTGACCTTGCATGTCTTTATGAGAAGGTGGAGTTTAGGTGGAATGAACTCTTCCCAATACCTCGAAAACTGCACTTTGTACGTGTAGAAAACGCTTTTGCGGATTCCATCAGTGAAATCCGTAAAGCTTGAACATTCACTTGAAAGCCATATGAAACTACAAAGCCACTCCTAAATATGGAATTAACTTTTGAAACAACATTATAAAAAAAAAAGCAACATTTGAGAAAATATTTTGATACAGCCATATCCAATGATATCGAACCAGCAAAGTGACGTATCGACCCTACAGTTTTTTGTCTTGCTGAGGATGAACGACGCAAAAATCCTCCACGAACGTCGGAAAGCTCGCACTCTACCAACGAGACGCATCGAAACGATGCCCTCGTGAAGGTGTCAAATAACCTAAACGTGGTCATCAACGAACACGACGCGACGACGCTCATCGACACCGGGATAGACCATTGCGTTCTGATTGGCAAGCTCTCTCGCCGCCTCCGAAAAGTGATGACCCGTGGGATGGGCCACAAACTCGAATCGCCCGAGGGCACCTCTACGCGCCAGTAGAGAGGTGCACGGCTTCCTGCGAGACCTACTGTGAGGCGTGCCCAGTGAAACTTGTTGTCCTCAATGACTGTGCGAGGAGCATCATTCTCGAAATGGACTTTTTGTCTTAATACGTCGCCTTCATCGACCTGAGAGCAAACAAGTTGACGCTCTCGAGACGACGTCAGCCGCTGTCCATTGTGAACCACGCGAACCTCCGGCCGCTATGAAGTGTTTTCGTAGTTCAGACGGTCCCGCAGTTTAATGTAAACGGTCATTTGATTTAGCACTTCGTTAATTTATTTAAGGTTGCATCGGGACAGTGCACTTTTAAAGATGGGAGTAATGCAGCATGCATGAGCGAGAAGGAACGCTTCTGGGTACTTGTAGAAGATTCGACCTTACTCTTACTCCAACTGCAAAAGACAAGGAACCCGACATGACCTTGCCGCGTAAGTCTCGTCGTAGCTCACTCCCCAACATTCTAGGTAGAATATTCGATATACCGAGTGTAGCAGGTATGGAGCCGAGCGTGGTCTTGCCGTCTCACTCACATTTTCCCGACGGCGACGCACTCAGGCTCGCTTCTCGTAGTCCCCTCAGACATGCGCACGTCAACCAAAAAAAAAAGTAACTAAATACGTTACTCGTTACTGATCTTCAAAGCGAACGCTTTACTGTATCTCTAAAGTAGCGGGTTACTTATTGGTTACTTTGACGACGCAACTGCTTTTGTTTTGTGGTTTATTATTACTTTTTTCAGTAGTCGTGGCACTTAAACAGTAGCTGCCTCTCGACGGTTCCATCGCTTATGTTTTTCCCGCTTCATTGAGAATACATCTCCGGCCTCGCTGAAGAGTCCTTCTACCGACGCGCTCGAAGGAACGGCAGTATTGTGCTTCAGGAAGAGCCGGTGAATCTTGGCTTCCCCAATCTCTTTTTGTTCCCTTTGCTTCTAAAGTTCAAAGTTGACAATAGGTTCTGTGTCTCCTTTCGTTTGCAGTCTCCGGGTTGACACTCCGTCTGTACAGGATTCTAGAAGGTTCAACCAACCAACCTTATTGTGTTCTCTGGATGAAAAGCATTCCCAGCTGTAAAGTTCGACTGACGTGTTTAGCGCTGAACGTTACTATGGTGTCACACTGATTAGTGGTTTTTCGTGTTGCCTATCTGCCTTTGTCGCTATAGACGCGTACTCAGGTTATAATTAAAACGAGGCCGTTAAGCGCTTTTGCACACATTACTCCACAAAAGTGACGAAATACTTTTACTCGTTGCTTGGCCTTCAAAGTAACTAAGTACGTTACTCGTTCCTTTCCTAAAAAGTAACTAAATACATGACTTGTTACCGAAATAGTAACTAGGTAGAAGTAACTCGTTAGCAGTAACGCGTTACAGACATGTCTGGTCTCGCTTCAGCCATGTCACGCTGAGGCCGCGACGATCGCTGCTGCTGTTACGACGCTCATTCTTTTGTTTCTGGCACAAGTTCGCCCATTAAGCCTTTATTTTCAGTTTACGCTCGTCCAGCCTTTTTCATCCGCGAAAATATGCTAGCTTTGGGAACTTAGGCGTGAATCGGGATATTTCTTTCGTTATTTCAAACAAGCCCCCCGTTGTGCTTTCCTCAAATAGTCTTCAACCCCATCACGCACATTTCTATAGTCAGTTACAGGTTAAAGGGCCCATGAAACGATTTTTGGGTTGGGATAAATCATTTTAGATTGGGATTTTACTAATAGAACATCGTTCAGTGGGTCAAAAGAAAAAAGGTAGAAAGTCAAAAGCCTGACATTCAGTGCGAAAATTTGAAAACACAGCGGACTATTTCGTTCCTTCTCCCCTTCGTAACCGCTCTGCCTTTTCACGGGGATACATCCGCGGTCCCATAAGCGTGTCATCGGGTCCAAACTGACGTCACACAAAACCGGACCTCATTTAGTCCCTTCACCCCTAAGCTGACATTGTGGTGGAAGCTACGCGCTTGCCGGACCAATCAGCCACCTCCGTTTCATCACCTGACTTCATTCTCTGCAGCCACATTTGCCACGCTTACGTGGCAAAAGTGTGGCTAGCCCAAGGAGCACGTAGCTTCCACAGCACTGTCAGCTTAGGGGTGAACGGGCTAGGGAAAGAAACTTTTGTCTGAGTTTTGAGCGACGGGCTAATCTTCTAGGGGGAGAATGGATGTGTCCGGGGATTACACAAACCAGGTTCCGAGCGAGAGGAGCCTCCCTTCTTTTCGTCTTCTTGAACTGTTTGGTGTAATGCGCGATTTATGAGTTGAGGAGGAAAGCGAAACAGGAAAAAGTTGGAAAAGCGTTTCATGACCCCTTTAAGAAGGTAGCGGCAAATGCCCCTCAAAGGGAATCGGATATCCCTCCGCCACCTTTGCATCCAATAGCGTCCCACCGTTTCCGTGACGTCGCGGACAACGCACGAGGAGGGTCTTGCCTTTCTGTACATATTTGCTTTATCTTTCGACTTTGACTTAGCATTGTGGAAGCCACGAGAGGGAGATTAGAGTTCTCCCCCACCGACGGAAACAAATACGACTTTTGGGGATTAGCTTCCCCCCCGATGGATACAAAGGCTGCTTTCAGGGGCTGGGTTCCCTCTCCGATTAATACAAAGGTCGCTTTCTTAAAAAGTGGGATCGGAGACAAGTGGGAATCCATTGAAGCGGAACCAGGAGCGTTTCCAGTGAACTCTTCTTTCGACTGCGGAGAGATTTGAAACGGGCGCATCACACTTGTGGGAGGAGCTTCTCCTACCTTCTTGACTTGTAACCGACTATAGCGCGGGCGATTGTTTTTGTTGTGTAGACGAAAATCGCGAGTGCCGGGGCTAGTGATATGTTTCAAAAAGGCGCCCACAACCTTACCCCTAACCACATCTGAGTCCATTACGTTCACACATACGTCACTTATTCAAAGAAAAATAATCCGGCATTCCAGCTTGTGTTGTAGGTTCTACTACCTTTGCACAGTTTACCTTCTTTTTTTTTTAGATCTATACTTTGTTTCACCTAACGACGAATCGCAGTGGACGCTACGGGGGATTCCAGCCATTCCAGTGCTGCGACGGTAACACGTGACCGTGCGACCCGCGCGTCGCTCGGTTCAACCCCAAGGTCACGTGACATTCACCCGGTATTGGATTGGCTACAAAGGCTCGTAGAGTCCCTCGCGGTCCATCGTAAGGTCGAACCAAGTATGGATTCTCTCGAGTCTGGGAACACATCTTGGCGATAGCAGCAGGAAATGAAGTATCTGTTTCTGACTCGTCATTTTTTCTCTAACCCTCGGGAAACGAATGACCCTTCCGGGGCAGAGATCGAAAATGGCAGGAGACGCCGCAGCAGTTCGGGCGCCCTTTAACAAATGACCGGGTCAGCTGGTTCGTTCATTCGCTTATCGTCCTGCGTCTGTGGCCGCCGCTGTCTCCCGCAGTCTTGTGCCAGTGAAGCCAGCTACTGCAACCACGTCTGTCGTGGGTTCTGTTAAGAAACGCTGGACCGCTTGCTATCTCGCGTCTTATTTTTTCTGTTAACTCTGATGACGCCTTTCGAATGTTTTCTTTTAACATAATTCCCTAATTTCATTAATTTTCCCTCCCCTTTGTACGTCCGTTTGTTCATTAATTTCTTCACTAAATTTAGCGTGAAAATCGACGTGGCGTGTCGTCATGACTCGATACCGTGATGTCCTCGTGTCACGTGACACCAGGAGCCGGCAGCGGCATGACGTCATATATGGCCATCACACTCCATGGATGTAGTTCCTGAAGAATTAACGAACGCAGTCATGGCTTAAAGGCCAACTCCGGTCAATATATTCGAAGTTTGGATTATGACTGATTTTAGCTCAGTCAATATCCCTGAATTACGAGGTATAATTACATTTTTATCTCGATATTGCTTGCAGTTTATAAAATATCACGGCTCAAAGTTTGATTTCAGGCGTGTACGGCAAAAAAAACCGAAACTATCTGCTCAAAAGGGACGGCAACACTGGTCATCAGCTGTACGGCTGCAGCGCGACGTCACCGTGGTGCTCTAGTGCGCGCATCGCCCAGTGTTGCTTGACTTAAAGCTAATCCGATTGCCGCCCGCTAAAGAGCGCAACGTGGAAAGTTGGGCCAGTTGGTTTCACGGT